ACCTCCAAGATATCTTAAAGGACCTATCTGAGAGGTAAGACTCAAACCACTGGCGTGCGGTTCCTGAGATGCCATTTTCCAACAGGGTTGACAGGAGAATCTGGTGGTTCACCGTATCAAAAGCAGCAGACAGATCCAGCAAAATAAGTATAGAAGATTTGGAAGCTGTTTAAATGTTGAGGGAAAAACACCAGTGTGAAGAGCAGTTGCCTTATTATGAAGCACTTGTGTCTGCTTTAATGCACCCTCAAACGGAGTGGAGAAAGTGCATCTGTTCATTCTCAAATAAGCCTAGTTCAAGGGCCCATAGATAAAGACTCATAAAGTAAAAATTGCCCAATATTGGGATATCATTAGAGCAGTAGACCTAGTATGAAGCCCTTTTGTCCGTTTTAATGCAACCTCAAAGGGCTTGGAGAAAATTTGCTGCAAAGTGGGCTGATGGTGCAATAAAAACTGCCCAACATTTGAATCTAATTAGAGCCATTGCTCTAGCATGAAGATCTTGTGTTCACTCAACCTCAAAGCAAATAGAGAAAACTCAAGCAAAATTGCAGACTTTATTCGTGTCTTTATGCATTGCCAAATATGCCAAGTTCAAGGGGCTATAAAACATTACTGATAAAGTAAATACAGCCTGAAATTGGAATTTCATTAGAGCAGTTGACCTACTACAAAGTCCTAATATCCACTTTAATGCACACTCAAGGGTAGCAGAGAAAAATGGCTGCGATTTGGGCTGATGGGGTGATATATGCCTCGATGTATTGTCAATTATGCCAAGTTCAAGGGTCCTTAAAAAACAGCGATATAAAAACAGCCCAAAATTTGGATTAGAGCAGTTGCCCTATTATGAAGCCCTTATGTTTGTTTTAATGCACCCTCAAAGGAAACAGAGGAACGTAGCCACGAAATGGGCTGATGGTGCAATAATTGTCAAATATGCCAAGTTTAAGAGTTCATAAAAATAGATTGGTACAGTAAAAACTGTTCAAATTTTGAACTGGGTTAGACCAGTGGCCCTGCTACGATGTTCTGATGTACAAACCTGTAAAGAAGGCAGAGAAAGTTTGCCATGAAATCAGCTGAAGGTACAATATGCAGCTCGGTGTGAAAATCTTCCCTTCAAAGGTCAATTAAAAAAAACAGTACAGTACCAGGAACCTGACACTTAAAAAACTGAAGGCTGTCTTGAAAGATTTACACATTATTGGTTAAATAAATAGATTTTTTTGTACTTTGCTGAATAAAAATAAAGAATCTGTGTGTTTGTGATATGCAGACTCGCACAGAATAACAATCTCACGCTCATAAATAAAAGCATATCTCCTGTGAAGCATGTATATATTTATTTATTTATTTGTTTGTTGAAATATTTAAAGTTTTGTAATATTTCCCCAGAAAAATGTAAACTTCTCCATATTCACAAAAAGAAAGACATTTCTGTTTATCAATCATTGTCAGTAAAATGAAATTCATAATTACAATAATAATCATATTTGAATATAATATCTTTATAATAATATGAACATTCAAAACATCACTCCATATTCAGAGAGGCTCCACTCTAGAATCAACAAATCTCTCGCGCATTCGAGAATATTTCCATGGGTAAATATATAAATATATACATCCTACGCTCCTGAATCGGGTCGGAGGGTCAAGGGTCAATGCTATGGCTTGTCCGTGTCTATGGCTAAATTGGCGGCTGGGTCCCGCGGCGAGGACCGTTCGTTTCATCATGAAGACAGAAACTCATAGCAGTAAGAGCTAGTGTGCTACACAATGGGGAAAAGATACACGATCACAATCTGTCGTAGCATAACTGACCCCTATACACAAACGCTGGCGGATACGATCGCAAAATTGCGCCAAAAGTGGTGAGAAACGACGTATCGATACAGAACCGGTCCAAAAACGCCCTTGCATTATCGAATGTGAAATCGACGTCTCTATGGCAACGCGTTTAAATGTGACCGCTCGTGTTCAGCCAATTAGAGCTCGGTGTGGGAACTGTAGGCACAGAAACACTGTTCATCATCATTATAACTAGTAGTACCTGAAATGCAGACGAAAGTAATACTTCGAACAGAAAAAGTAAATAAAGACAAAAGTAATCGACTAAAGCCCCAGCAAAGAAGCTACTGGCGTATATGAGTATCATCCATCGAACACCAAGAAAAGAGAAAAACTCAACCGACTTAAAATGAGAGAAACTTTCCAACGATAAATCTGGACTCTATGTACAGAAATCAGCAGCCGACCTCGCCGATGACGTCAGTGCTCGAGTGTGTGTGTGTGTGTGTGTGAGAATCAAGCACAAGCGCTGTTCTCAAACCTAGTGAGCCGCATCGACGACTAAAGCTCCTCACAGACTCAAAATCACACCAAATATCAGATGAAATACTAGTTTATGAAAAATATTAATAGACATTTGTAGGGAAGCACCATTATTGAATTTCTGTCAACATGTCATGCTAACCTGGTTAAAAATATAATAATAATAATATAAAATGAGACCGGTCCCAACAGCACAAAGAAGCACATTACCATTTCAATTAATTTAAGAAATTCATGAAAGGCAACTTTAAAATCTATTTAATTTTTTTCCCAAATTCAATTTTCTGGATTCCATTTATGGTTAAATCAATCCCTATGAAATCTGTTTAACCTTGCCCTTTTTTCACAGATTCTTTTTGTCCTGTTTAGCTTTTCTTGATTATGCTTTAATGATAAACTATAAATCCCAAAAACTGAATTCATAAAACAATTGAATTCATTGTAACAATAATAGGGCCTTATGATTTTTTTCTCTGTAATTCCATTTTAATGGTTAAATTACATTTTAGTAATAAAAAAACATGCATAATTATTTGAAATTATGCAACTTATACAATTTACCAACAATTTAGTAAAAGTTTAACAAATACATTTTTTAGGGCCCTCTGAAATTAAAAATTTGATTTAATTTCATTTTAATAATCAAAAAGTCTGTTAATTTTAATAATAATAATGATAAAGCCTTAGAAAATGCGTTTATGATTTAATACAAATTTACTATCAAAAACGACAGTAATCAAATGAAGGCATAAACCCTAACAATTTAATTAATCTTTTAATTCATCAATCGAAAATAATAATTAATAATTCCTTTTATTTTTTGGTAAACAAAGTGCTGCAAAATGAGATATACTGTTAAAATGATAACACACCCGTGTAAGAAAAATTCTGGGATATTCCCTAAAAACTAAAGTTTTAATAATTGAATTATTACTTTCAGAAGTACATTCTATTGTACAATAGTAATATATTTGTCACAATTTCAAGTTAAACTAAAGTTTGAATATAAGATAAGAGTTGCTGAATAATAATGTATCACTATCATACACATTCAGACTTTCCACTGCATCTTAAAACACTGTCTCTCAGTGCATTGTGGGATGTGTGAAGCATCGGATCGGGTGGCTCACTAGGGTCTGAAGAGAGCTTCAGTGGGCGGCTGGATGATTTTAGCTCGGTCGCGTCTCAAACCTCGTCATCCGGGCGTTTGGCACAAACACACACCAGCACTAAACGAACACGTCCGCTCGCTCTCCACATCCCAGAAAACAGCAAAGCCACCGACCGC